GAGTCTCCTGCTCCAGGTACAGGTGCGGCTGCTGCTCTAGGTGCTAGTGAGTCTGCTTCCTCAGGTGCGGGTGAGTCTGCTCTCTCAGGTACCGCGTCGGCTCCGGCCTCTCACACCTTCACTCTTGACTCGGGGGCTTCCCGCTCCTTCTTTCGAGACCGCACCACACTCACGCCGCTTGGTCGGCCAGTTGCAGTCTCTCTGGCAGACCCCTCTGGGGGTCCTGTCCTTGCTCACTTCTCCACTGTCCTCCCGTGTCCAGCGGCCCCCTCTGGCACCCTGTCTGATCTTTACCTCCCCTCGTTCTCTACAAACTTGGTGAGTGGTGCTGACCTACAGGATGCGGGGGTTCACCACTTCAGTCCTGCGAGTCAGCGGGTGACCCACTGCACGGACGCTCGGACAGGCCGACACCTGGCCACGTTTACACGTTGGCCGGGGTCGAGCCTGTACACGCTAACCACTGCGTCTCCTCCAGTCACTGCGTCTAGTCAGGTAGCTGCGTCGGGTCAGGTGTTTGCTGCAGCGTCCAGGTCTGGTCCTGAGTCTGCCCCCTGCTCGTGTCGCCTCCTGTCTCACGAGACTCTCCTCTGGCACCACCGCCTTGGTCACCCCTCCCTGCTTCGTCTCCGAGGCATGGCCTCCCGTGTCCTTGTCTCTGGTCTTCCCCGGTCCCTCCCTCCCCTTCCTCCGGGGCCTGGCCCGACCTGCGTCCCCTGTGTCGAGCGGCGGCAGCAGGCTGCCCCTCACTCCTCTCAGTTTCCTCCGACAGAGGCCCCGCAGCAGACGCTTCACATGGACGTGTGGGGCCCGGCCCGCGTCCGTGGACAGGATCACGAGCGCTACTTCCTGCTGGTGGTTGACGACTACTCGCGTTACACCACAGTCTTCCCCTTGCGCAGCAAGGGTGATGTCACTGAGGTGTTGATCGACTGGATCCGCGCAGCTCGTCTCCAACTCAGGCTCGGACTTCCCTGTTCTGCGCCTGCACTCTGACAGGGGAGGAGAGTTCTCCTCTGACCTTCTGCAAGCCTACTGTCTTGCACGAGGCATCCGCCAGACCTTCACGCTTCCGGACTCTCCACAGCAAAATGGGATTGCTGAGCGCTGCATTGGCATGGTCATGGACGTCGCCCGAACGTCCATGATGCATGCGGCTGCCCCCCATTTTCTATGGCCGTTTGCGGTCCAGTACGCGGCGCATCAGATCAACCTTCAGCCCAGGGTCTCCATGCCGGAGACCTCCCCAGCTTTGCTGTGGACGGGGAAGGTTGGCGATGCGTCTACGTTACGTGTCTGGGGATCTTGGGCGTTTGTCCGCGACTTGTCTGCGGACAAGCTGTCCCCTCGTGCTGCTCCCTGCGTCTTCCTGGGTTTCCCCCCTGACGCGCCAGGGTGGCAGTTCTACCACCCCACCTCTCGTCGTGTTCTGTCCTCCCAGGACGTCATGTTCGACGAGTCGGTCCCCTACTACCGTCTCTTCCCCTACCGCACTCCGTCCCTCTCCCCGCAACTGCTCTTCCTTGTGCCAGGTCCCCCCCCGGTAGACCCCCTCCCCCCTCAAGGTCCTGCCCCTTCAGGTGTGTCCCAGGTAGACGTTGTTGAGCCTGTCGAGGTCGCTGGTGACTCTGGTGCTGCTGAGGGTGCTGAGCCTGGGGGTGCTGAGCGTGTGGGTGCTACGCCTGGGGGTGCTGAGCCTGGGGGTGCTGAGCCTGGGGGTGCTGAGCCTGGGAGTGTTGAGCCTGAGGGTGCTGAGCTTGGGGGTGCTGAGCCTGGGGGTGCTGAGCCTGGGGGTGCTGAGCCTGGGAGTGCTGAGCTTGGGGGTGCTGAGCCTGGGGGTGCTACGCCTAGAGATGCTGAGCCTGGAGGTGCTGAGCTTGAGGGAGCTGGGCCTGCTCGTGTGGCGTTTGGCAGTGCTGTGCCTGGCGGTCCTCCGGGTGCCTCGTCTCGCCGGGAGCCACTCTCTCCACAGGAGCTGCGTGAGTGGTTTGCCCGGCGCTGGAGGCGAGCTGCTGGAGCTGGAGGTGCTGCGGGTACTGGAGGTTCTGCTGCTGCTGAGGGTGCTAGTGCCGCGGGTCCCGGAGGTGCTCGTACAGGGAGTACTGGAGCTGCTGGGCCTGCGGGTACTTCTAGAGTTGGAGCTGCTGCGGGTGTTTGCGCGGAGGCTACTGCTGTCGGTCCTGGAGGCGGTCCTGCTGGGGGTGCTACTGGTGCTGCTGGAGGTACTGGAGCTGGAGGTGCTGCAAGTGCTGGTGCTGCCGCTGGGGGTACTGATGCTGTCCCTGCTGTGTCTGGAGTCGCCGCGCGGCCTCGGTCGTACTTCGTTCCGCTCCTTCAGCAAGTTCTTGGTCTCCCGTCTTCTACTGGTCCTCCTGCTCCCTTCGAGTGTCCACACCCTGTCCCGTCACAGTTACAGTTACAGCCGGCCTCCCCACTGCCTGCTCCGTCTCCCTACACTGGTCCTACTGGAGGTCTTGCTGAGCGTCGTGAGCCTGCATCTCGCCATGCGTCGCCTGTCCGTGCTTCTCGCACTAGTGGTTGCGGTTCACGTCAGCGTCCTCCTCCTGTCCCTGGCACGCACCGGATGTCTCTGCGTCCGTCCACTGCTCCTCTGCGTGCCCCTTTGCCTTCTCCTCCTGAGTCTTCTCTTCCTGCTCTTGCCGACCTAGAGTCGGACTCTCTTCGTGCTGCCAGTCCTCTTGACACACGTCTCCTTGCTACTGTTGTCACTGACTCTTCCTATGAGTCCACTGCTGCGTCTGCCCTAGTTGCTGAGCTCGTCGACTTTGCTGCTCGCTGTCGTCTAGACTACGCCGCCAGTCTTGTTGCTGAGTCTGAGTTTGTCTATCCTCCGTCCATCGGGGGTGAGTGTGCCCTTGGCACGGACGTCCTTGAGGACAGGCAGGAGGAGTTCCAGTGTCTGGCTGCTGCTTCACCTCATCTCGTGTCCGTACTCCTTACCCCTGAGGGAGACCCGGATGCACTTGACATCCCGACTCCGCGCTCTTACGCGGAGGCGATAGATGGTCCCTACTCCTCTCAGTGGCAGGCAGCTATGGACGCAGAGATGGCTTCCTAGAAGTCCACAGGCACCTACTTTGACGAGGTTCCCCCGCGTGGGGCGAACATCGTCAGTGGCATGTGGATTTTTAGGGTGAAGCGGCCGCCGGGTTCTCCGCCTGTCTTCAAGGCGCGTTACGTGGCTCGTGGCTTCAGTCAGCGGCAGGGAGTTGACTACTTTCAGACCTTCTCTCCCACCCCGAAGATGACCACTCTTTGGGTACTGCTGCACATAGCTGCTGACCGTGACTACGAGCTTCACTCTCTTGACTTCAGCACAGCTTTCCTGCAGGGCAGCCTGCACGAGGAGATCTGGCTGCGCCGCCCACCTGGCTTCACTGGGTCTTTTCCTCCTGGCACCCAGTGGAGCCTCCGGCGGCCAGTCTACGGTCTCCGCCAGGCACCGCGTGAGTGGCACGACACACTGAGGACTACACTTGCGGTTTTGGGTTTGCTCCCTCTACTGCCGACCCGTCGCTGTTTCTGCGCACCGACACTTCTTTGCCGCCGTTCTACATCCTCGTGTACGTCGACGACTTGGTCTTTGCCACAGCTGACACTGCTAGACTCGCCCACGTGAAGTCCGAGCTGCAGAAGAGACACACGTGCACAGACCTGGGTGAACTGCGCAGCTACCTTGGCTTGCAGATCACCTGGGACAGAGCACGCCGCACCATTACCCTGACTCAATCACACATGGTGCAGCAGGTCCTTCAGCGCTTCGGCTTCACGTACTCCTCGCCTCAGGCCACTCCTCTGCCTACTCGCCACTCGCTCTCAGCTCTGCCTTCAGATGAGTCCGTAGAGTCGAGTGGCCCATATCCAGAGCTTGTTGGCTGCCTCATGTACCTGATGACCTGCACTCGACCTGAACTTGCATACCCTCTTAGCATTCTCGCACGCTATGTTGCTCCTGGGAGACACAGGCTGGAGCACATGGCTGCAGCAAAGAGGGTGTTGCGCTACTTGTGCAGTACGTCAGGCATGGGGCTTGTGCTTGGAGGGCAGAGTCTAGTGATCCTCACTGGGCACGCAGACGCTTCTTAGGCTGACGACCAGGCTACGCAGCGGTCGTCACAGGGTTACACCTTCAGCCTTGGTTCCGGCTCTGTTTCGTGGCGGGCTACCCGCTCGTTTTCTGTTCTCGGCTCCAGTTGTGAGGCTGAGATCTACGCCGGGGCCATGGCTGCACAGGAGCTTTGCTGGCTCACCTACCTACTGACTGACCTCGGAGAGCCGCCTCGTTCTCCTCCAGTGCTGTACGTAGACAACAAGGCCATGCTGGCCTTGTGTCGAGAGCAGAGACTGGAGCACAGAACAAAGCACATTGCTCTCCGCTACTTCCTTGCTCGTGAGCTGCAGCAGCGTGGTCAGCTGCGTCTTGCGTACGTGGCCTCTGAGGCCAACACTGCTGATATCTTCACCAAGGCGCTTGTGCCTTGTGATCATCAGCGCTTCTGTACTCAACTGGGTCTTGTGCCTGCCTTGCCTCACTTGCTCACCTCTTGACCTTGCTTGTACTGTTACATATATATATACACCTGCTCTTGCTTGTCTAGCCTTTTATATATATATGTACTCCTGCATGTGAACTGGCCTTGTGGCCTTGACCTTGTGCTCGGAATGTGTGGTGACTTTGTGATCCACCCTTAGCTTGCTTTGCTTGTCTGGTCTTGTGACCCCTTGTACTCCCCCACTTTGCCTATGGGGTTGTGTCAGAACATTATAGCTTATGCTTTTGTGTAGGCTGTAGTGGGGTAGCCTATATGGAGTACAACCCAATTAGGGTTAGTACTTGTACCCAACTCTTTCATAGTGCATTCATTCTCGTTCATTTTCACAATTCGGTCCCTCCTCTGTGTGCGCATACTACTACCACCGAAGATTGCTTGTATGTGATAAGCCCGTTCAGCTTACTCACATCTGCTAACGAGAACTGCCTACACCACTTCCTCCATACCTCCAGGGTTTGTTATAACCTGACGCTCACTCCCACATGATTCTGAGGCAATCACATGAGTATTACAGAACATACAAACAGTGCAGAGTCAAACACCCGTACCCCCTATATCCGTGCCTGCCTCCTCCCCCTATAGCTACACCTCTAGATCCCCTTGAAGGTGATACCCTCCTGCCAAAGCGAAGGGCCGCCCTGTCCCCCTCCTACCACTGCCACTTAGCCGCCCTGCTGCTTGACCTCCAGCGCGTGCTTGTAACTCCAGCTGGCTCGAGCATTCAACCTGCAAGGAAACGAAACATGTAAACTTCACATGAAACAAAAGCTCCTTCCAGCTATTACCCTGCCCTACTTCGCCCATGCGACGCTTAGCCGACACAGCAACCCTCAGGCCCCCAGCCATCAACCATACCTCGCTTCTCGTCCTCGGTATTCAGGTTTGCAGCGAACTGTACAAATAGAAAATATGTACACTCACTTCTCTGCTCGGTAAAACTCGCAACAGCGGGGTGATGGAAAGCGGGAGAATAGGGCGGGGTGATAGAAAGCGGGAGAATGGGGCGGGGTGATGGAAAACGGGAGAATGGGGCGGGATGACGGAAAGCGAGAGAATAGGGCGGGGTGATGGAAAGCGGGAGAATGGGGCGGGGTGATGGAAAGCGGGAGAATCGGCGTGGTGATGGAAGGAGGGAGAATGGGGCGGGGTGATGGAAAGTAAGAGAATAGGGCGGGGTGACGGAAAGCGGGAGAATGGGGAGGGGTGACGGAAAGCGGGAGAATGGGGCGAGGTGATGGAAAGCGGGAGAATGGGAGAATGGGGCGGGGTGATGGAAGGAGGGAGAATGGGGCGGGGTGATGGAAGGAGGGAGAATGGGGCGGGGTGATGGAAGGAGGGAGAATGGGGCGGGGTGATGGAAAGCGGGAGAATGGGGCGGGATGATGGAAAGTGGGAGAATGGGGCGGGGTGATGGAAAGCGGGAGAATGGGGCGGGATGATGGAAAGCGGGAGAATGGGAGAATGGGGCGGGGTGATGGAAAGCGGGAGAATGGGGCGGGATGATGGAAAGTGGGAGAATGGGGCGGGGTGATGGAAAGCGGGAGAAGGGGCGGGGTGATGGAAAGCGGGAGAATGGGGCGGGGTGATGTAAAGCGAGAGAATGGGATGGGGTGATGGAAAGCGGGAGAATAAGACGGGGTGATGGAAAGCGGGAGAATGGGACGGGGTGATGGAAAGCGGGAGAATGGGGCGGGGTGATGGAAGGAGGGAGAATGGGGCGGGGCGATGGAAGGAGGGAGAATGGGGCTGGGTGATGAAAAGCGAAAGAATAGAGCGGGGTGATAGAAAACGGGAGAAAGGGGCGGGATGATGGAAAGCGGGAGAATGGGGCGGGGTGATGGAAAGCGGGAGAATGGGGCGGGTTGATGGAAGGAGGGAGAATGGGGCGGGGTGATGGAAGGAGGGAGAACGGGGCGGGCTGATGGAAAGCGGGAGAATGGGGCGGGGACATGGAAAGTGGGAGAATGGGGCGCGGTGATGGAAGGAGGGAGAATGGGGCGGGGTGATGGAAGGAGGGAGAATGGGGCGGGGTGATGGAAAGCGGGAGAATAGGGCGGGGTGAAGGAAAGCGGGAGAAAGGGGCGGGGTGATGGAAAGCGGGAGAATGGGGCAGGGTGATGGAAGGAGGGAGAATGGGGCAGGGTGATGGAAGGAGGGAGAATGGGGCGGGGTGACGGAAAGCGGGAGAATGGGGCGGGGTGACGGAAAGCGGGAGAATGGGGCGGGGTGATGGAAAGCGGGAGAATGGGGCGGGGTGATGGAAAGCGGGAGAATGGGGCAGGGTGATGGAAGGAGGGAGAATGGGGCGGGGTGATGGAAAGCGGGAGAATAGGGCGGGGTGATGGAAAGCGGGAGAATGGGGCGGGGTGATGGAAAGCGGGAGAATGGGGCGGGGTGATGGAAAGCGGGAGAAAGGGGGGGGGTGATGGAAAGCGGGAGAATGGGGCGGGGTGATGGAAGGAGGGAGAATGGGGCAGGGTGATGGAAGGAGGGAGAATGGGGCGGGGTGACGGAAAGCGGGAGAATGGGGCGGGGTGATGGAAAGCGGGAGAATGGGGCGGGGTGATGGAAAGCGGGAGAATGGGGCAGGGTGATGGAAGGAGGGAGAATGGGGCGGGGTGATGGAAAGCGGGAGAATGGGGCGGGGTGATGGAAAGCGAGAGAATGGGGCGGGGTGATGGAAGGAGGGAGAATGGGGCGGGGGGATGGAAGGAGGGAGAATGGGGCGGGGTGATGGAAAGCGGGAGAATGGGGCGGGATGATGGAAAGCGGGAGAATGGGGCGGGGTGATGGAAAGCGGGAGAATGGGGCGGGATGATGGAAAGCGGGAGAATGGGAGAATGGGGCGGGGTGATGGAAAGCGGGAGAATGGGGCGGGATGATGGAAAGTGGGAGAATGGGGCGGGGTGATGGAAAGCGGGAGAAGGGGCGGGGTGATGGAAAGCGGGAGAATGGGGCGGGGTGATGTAAAGCGAGAGAATGGGATGGGGTGATGGAAAGCGGGAGAATAAGACGGGGTGATGGAAAGCGGGAGAATGGGACGGGGTGATGGAAAGCGGGAGAATGGGGCGGGGTGATGGAAGGAGGGAGAATGGGGCGGGGCGATGGAAGGAGGGAGAATGGGGCTGGGTGATGAAAAGCGAAAGAATAGAGCGGGGTGATAGAAAACGGGAGAAAGGGGCGGGATGATGGAAAGCGGGAGAATGGGGCGGGGTGATGGAAAGCGGGAGAATGGGGCGGGGGAATGGAAGGAGGGAGAATGGGGCGGGGTGATGGAAAGCGGGAGAATGGGGCGGGATGATGGAAGGAGGGAGAATGGGGCGGGGTGATGGAAAGCGGGAGAATGGGGCGGGATGATGGAAAGCGGGAGAATGGGAGAATGGGGCGGGGTGATGGAAAGCGGGAGAATGGGGCGGGATGATGGAAAGTGGGAGAATGGGGCGGGGTGATGGAAAGCGGGAGAAGGGGCGGGGTGATGGAAAGCGGGAGAATGGGGCGGGGTGATGTAAAGCGAGAGAATGGGATGGGGTGATGGAAAGCGGGAGAATAAGACGGGGTGATGGAAAGCGGGAGAATGGGACGGGGTGATGGAAAGCGGGAGAATGGGGCGGGGTGATGGAAGGAGGGAGAATGGGGCGGGGCGATGGAAGGAGGGAGAATGGGCTGGGTGATGAAAAGCGAAAGAATAGAGCGGGGTGATAGAAAACGGGAGAAAGGGGCGGGATGATGGAAAGCGGGAGAATGGGGCGGGGTGATGGAAAGCGGGAGAATGGGGCAGGTTGATGGAAGGAGGGAGAATGGGGCGGGGTGATGGAAGGAGGGAGAACGGGGCGGGCTGATGGAAAGCGGGAGAATGGGGCGGGGACATGGAAAGTGGGAGAAAGGGGCGCGGTGATGGAAGGAGGGAGAATGGGGCGGGGTGATGGAAGGAGGGAGAATGGGGCGGGGTGATGGAAAGCGGGAGAATAGGGCGGGGTGATGGAAAGCGGGAGAAAGGGGCGGGGTGATGGAAAGCGGGAGAATGGGGCAGGGTGATGGAAGGAGGGAGAATGGGGCAGGGTGATGGAAGGAGGGAGAATGGGGCGGGGTGACGGAAAGCTGGAGAATGGGGCGGGGTGACGGAAAGCGGGCGAATGGGGCGGGGTGATGGAAAGCGGGAGAATGGGGCGGGGTGATGGAAAGCGGGAGAATGGGGCAGGGTGATGGAAGGAGGGAGAATGGGGCGGGGTGATGGAAAGCGGGAGAATAGGGCGGGGTGATGGAAAGCGGGAGAATGGGGCGGGGTGATGGAAAGCGGGAGAATGGGGCGGGGTGATGGAAAGCGGGAGAAAGGGGGGGGGTGATGGAAAGCGGGAGAATGGGGCAGGGTGATGGAAGGAGGGAGAATGGGGCAGGGTGATGGAAGGAGGGAGAATGGGGCGGGGTGACGGAAAGCGGGAGAATGGGGCGGGGTGATGGAAAGCGGGAGAATGGGGCGGGGTGATGGAAAGCGGGAGAATGGGGCAGGGTGATGGAAGGAGGGAGAATGGGGCGGGGTGATGGAAAGCGGGAGAATGGGGCGGGGTGATGGAAAGCGAGAGAATGGGGCGGGGTGATGGAAGGAGGGAGAATGGGGCGGGGGGATGGAAGGAGGGAGAATGGGGCGGGGTGATGGAAAGCGGGAGAATGGGGCGGGATGATGGAAGGAGGGAGAATGGGGCGGGTTGATGGAAAGCGGGAGAATGGGATGGGGTGATGGAAAGAGGGAGAAATGGGGTGGGGTGATGGAAAGAGGGAGAAATGGGGTGGGTTGATGGAAAGCGGGAGAAAGGGGCGGGGTGATGGAAAGAGGGAGAAATGGGGTGGGGTGATGGAAAGCGGGAGAATGGGGTGGGTTGATGAAAAGCGGGAGAATGGGGCGGAGTGATGGAAAGTGGGAGAATGGGGCGGGGTGATGTAAGGAGGGAGAATGGGGCGGGGTAGGAGGGAGAATGGGGCGGGGTGATGGAAAGCGGGAGAATGGGGCGGGATGATGGAAAGCGGGAGAATGGGAGAATGGGGCGGGGTGATGGAAAGCGGGAGAATGGGGCGGGATGATGGAAAGTGGGAGAATGGGGCGGGGTGATGGAAAGCGGGAGAAGGGGCGGGGTGATGGAAAGCGGGAGAATGGGGCGGGGTGATGTAAAGCGAGAGAATGGGATGGGGTGATGGAAAGCGGGAGAATAAGACGGGGTGATGGAAAGCGGGAGAATGGGACGGGGTGATGGAAAGCGGGAGAATGGGGCGGGGTGATGGAAGGAGGGAGAATGGGGCGGGGCGAATGAAGGAGGGAGAATGGGGCTGGGTGATGAAAAGCGAAAGAATAGAGCGGGGTGATAGAAAACGGGAGAAAGGGGCGGGATGATGGAAAGCGGGAGAATGGGGCGGGGTGATGGAAAGCGGGAGAATGGGGCGGGTTGATGGAAGGAGGGAGAATGGGGCGGGGTGATGGAAGGAGGGAGAACGGGGCGGGCTGATGGAAAGCGGGAGAATGGGGCGGGGACATGGAAAGTGGGAGAAAGGGGCGCGGTGATGGAAGGAGGGAGAATGGGGCGGGGTGATGGAAGGAGGGAGAATGGGGCGGGGTGATGGAAAGCGGGAGAATAGGGCGGGGTGATGGAAAGCGGGAGAAAGGGGCGGGGTGATGGAAAGCGGGAGAATGGGGCAGGGTGATGGAAGGAGGGAGAATGGGGCAGGGTGATGGAAGGAGGGAGAATGGGGCGGGGTGACGGAAAGCGGGAGAATGGGGCGGGGTGACGGAAAGCGGGAGAATGGGGCGGGGTGATGGAAAGCGGGAGAATGGGGCGGGGTGATGGAAAGCGGGAGAATGGGGCAGGGTGATGGAAGGAGGGAGAATGGGGCGGGGTGATGGAAAGCGGGAGAATAGGGCGGGGTGATGGAAAGCGGGAGAATGGGGCGGGGTGATGGAAAGCGGGAGAATGGGGCGGGGTGATGGAAAGCGGGAGAAAGGGGGGGGGTGATGGAAAGCGGGAGAATGGGGCAGGGTGATGGAAGGAGGGAGAATGGGGCAGGGTGATGGAAGGAGGGAGAATGGGGCGGGGTGACGGAAAGCGGGAGAATGGGGCGGGGTGATGGAAAGCGGGAGAATGGGGCGGGGTGATGGAAAGCGGGAGAATGGGGCAGGGTGATGGAAGGAGGGAGAATGGGGCGGGGTGATGGAAAGCGGGAGAATGGGGCGGGGTGATGGAAAGCGAGAGAATGGGGCGGGGTGATGGAAGGAGGGAGAATGGGGCGGGGGGATGGAAGGAGGGAGAATGGGGCGGGGTGATGGAAAGCGGGAGAATGGGGCGGGATGATGGAAGGAGGGAGAAGGGGGCGGGTTGATGGAAAGCGGGAGAATGGGATGGGGTGATGGAAAGAGGGAGAAATGGGGTGGGGTGATGGAAAGAGGGAGAAATGGGGTGGGTTGATGGAAAGCGGGAGAAAGGGGCGGGGTGATGGAAAGAGGGAGAAATGGGGTGGGGTGATGGAAAGCGGGAGAATGGGGTGGGTTGATGAAAAGCGGGAGAATGGGGCGGAGTGATGGAAAGTGGGAGAATGGGGCGGGGTGATGTAAGGAGGGAGAATGGGGCGGGGTAGGAGGGAGAATGGGGCGGGGTGATGGAAAGCGGGAGAATGGGGCTGGGAGATGGAAGGAGGGAGAATGGGGCGGGGTGATGGAAGGAGGGAGAATGGGGCGGGGTGATGGAAGGAGGGAGAATGGGGCGGGTTGATGGAAAGCGGGAGAATGGGGCGGGGTGATGGAAAGCGGGAGAAATGGGGCGGGGTGATGGAAAGAGGGAGAAATGGGGCGGGGTGATGGAAAGCGGGAGAATGGGGCGGGGTGATGGAAAACGGGAGAATGGGGCGGGGTGATGGAAAGCGGGAGAATAGGGCGGGGTGATGGAAGGAGGGAGAATGGGGCGGGGTGATGGAAGGAGGGAGAATGGGGCGGGTTGATGGAAGGAGGGAGAATGGGGCGGGGTGATGGAAAGCGGGAGAATGGGGTGGGGTGATGGAAAGTGGGAGAATGGGGCGGAGTGATGGAAAGCGGGAGAATGGGGCGGGGTGATGGAAGGAGGGAGAATGGGGCGGGGTGATGGAAGGAGGGAGAATGGGGCGGGTGCGGAGATAACTGCTGCAACGGGAGCTAGACTACGAGCTAGGCACGTGTGCTCGTGTGATCTCTGCGTTCGTTCACTTTGTCATTTCCTTGTGTTTACGCTGCTTGCTAGTTCACGGGGAGAATTGACAAGAGTTTCACTAGGAAAACATGACAACAATCATACAATCAAGTTGGCAATGCAAGACTACATCAGAGCTAGCATTCAGGTCGGCCAACTGCCTGCGCAGCTTGGTCGACCGCGTTCCAGCACGACTTGGTCGACCGCACTCCAGGAAGGCAAGGTCGACGGCGTGCCAACGTCGCAGGTTGATGGCGTACCAGCATTGCTCACGCAGGACAGCAGTGCACCCGCTTCGCAGATGCGCGTAGATGATTGGCGTGCAGAGTCTCGTCACCTGCACAGCGCACACACCACGTCAACCTCGAGTTGACGACTGCCTCTGATCCGCCACGACGACCTCGGGATACCACCACCGAGGTCGGTCTCGCCAACTTCGCCTGGGCGACCGTCGCACTCCTCCGCAGCACTTCGTCATCCAGGTAACCTGGTCGACCGGGCAACCACATAGACCAGCAGCTCCCGTACGTGCCCGTCGACCTCCTAAGTCTGAGTCAAGGACTGGGGCGAGATGATGGAAAGCCGGAGAATGGGGCGGGGTGATGGAAAGCGGGAGAATGGGGCAGGGTGATGGAAAGCGAGAGAATAGGGCGGGGTGATGGAAAGCGGGAGAATGGGGCGGGTGATGGAAAGCTGGAGAATGGGACGGGATGATGGAAAGCGGGAGAATGGGGTGGGGTGATGGAAAGCGGGAGAATGGGGCGGGATGATGGAAAGCGGGAGAATGGGGCGGGATGATGGAAAGCGGGAGAATGGGGCGGGGTGATAAAAAGCGGGAGAATGGGGCGGGATGATGGAAAGCGGGAGAATGGGGCGGGGTGATGGAAAGCGGGAGAATGGGGCGGGGTGATGGAAAGCTGGAGAACGGGGCAGGGTGATGGAAGGAGGGAGAAAGGGGCGGGGTGATGGAAGGAGGGAGAATGGGGCGGAGTGATGGAAAGCGGGAGAATGGGGCGGGGTGATGGAAAGCGGGAGAATGGGGCGGGGTGATGGAAAGCGGGAGAATGGGGCGGGGTGATGGAAAGCGAGAGAATGGGGCGGGGTGATGGAAAGCGGGAGAATGGGACGGGGTGATGGAAAGCGGGAGAATGGGGCAGGGTGACAGAAAGCGGGAGAATGGGGCGGGGTGATGGAAAGCGGGAGAATGGGGTGAGGTGATGGAAAGCGGGAAAATGGGGCGCGGTGATGGAAGGAGGGACAATGGGGCGGGGTGATGAAAAGCGAAAGAATAGAGCGGGGTGATAGAAAACGGGAGAATGGGGCGGGATGATGGAAAGCGGGAGAATGGGGGGGGGTGATGGAAAGCAGGAGAATGGAGCAGGGTGATGGAAAGCGGGAGAACGGGGCGGGGTGATGGAAAGCGGGAGAATAGGGCGGGGTGATGGAAAGCGGGAGAATGGGGCGGGTGATGGAAAGCTGGAGAATGGGACGGGATGATGGAAAGCGGGAGAATGGGGTGGGGTGATGGAAAGCGGGAGAATGGGGCGGGATGATGGAAAGCGGGAGAATGGGGCGGGATGATGGAAAGCGGGAGAATGGGGCGGGGTGATAAAAAGCGGGAGAATGGGGCGGGATGATGGAAAGCGGGAGAATGGGGCGGGGTGATGGAAAGCGGGAGAATGGGGCGGGGTGATGGAAAGCTGGAGAACGGGGCAGGGTGATGGAAGGAGGGAGAAAGGGGCGGGGTGATGGAAGGAGGGAGAATGGGGCGGAGTGATGGAAAGCGGGAGAATGGGGCGGGGTGATGGAAAGCGGGAGAATGGGGCGGGGTGATGGAAAGCGGGAGAATGGGGCGGGGTGATGGAAAGCGAGAGAATGGGGCGGGGTGATGGAAAGCGGGAGAATGGGACGGGGTGATGGAAAGCGGGAGAATGGGGCAGGGTGACAGAAAGCGGGAGAATGGGGTGGGGTGATGGAAAGCGGGAGAATGGGGTGAGGTGATGGAAAGCGGGAGAATGGGGCGGGGTGATGGAAAGCGAAAGAATAGAGCGGGGTGATAGAAAACGGGAGAATGGGGCGGGATGATGGAAAGCGGGAGAATGGGGCGGGGTGATGGAAAGCGGGAGAATGGAGCAGGGTGATGGAAAGTGAGAGAATAGGGCGGGGTGATGGAAAGCGGGAGAATGGGGCGGGGTGATGGAAAGCGGGAGAACGGGGCGGGGTGATGGAAAGCGGGAGAATGGGGCGGAGTGATGGAAAGCGGGAGAATGGGGCGGGATGATGGAAAGCGGGAGAATGGGGCGGGGTGATAAAAAGCGGGAGAATGGGGCGGGATGATGGAAAGCGGGAGAATGGGGCGGGGTGATGGAAAGCGGGAGAATGGGGCGGGGTGATGGAAAGCTGGAGAACGGAGCAGGGTGATGGAAGGAGGGAGAAAGGGGCGGGGTGATGGAAGGAGGGAGAATGGGGCGGAGTGATGGAAAGCGGGAGAATGGGGCGGGGTGATGGAGAGCGGGAGAATGGGGCGGGGTGATGGAAAGCGGGAGAATGGGGCGGGGTGATGGAAAGCGAGAGAATGGGGCGGGGTGATGGAAAGCGGGAGAATGGGACGGGGTGATGGAAAGCGGGAGAATGGGGCAGGGTGACAGAAAGCGGGAGAATGGGGCGGGGTGATGGAAAGCGGGAGAATGGGGCGAGGTGATGTAAGGAGGGACAATGGGGCGGGGTGATGAAAAGCGAAAGAATAGAGCGGGGTGATAGAAAACGGGAGAATGGGGCGGGATGATGGAAAGCGGGTGAATGGGGCGGGGTGATGGAAAGCAGGAGAATGGAGCAGGGTGATGGAAAGTGAGAGAATAGGGCGGGGTGATGGAAAGCGGGAGAATGGGGCGGGGTGATGGAAAGCGGGAGAACGGGGCGGGGTGATGGAAAGCGGGAGAATGGGGCGGGGTGATGGAAAGCGGGAGTATGGGGCGGGGTGATGGAAGGAGGGAGAATGGGGCAGGGTGATGGAAAGCGGGAGAATGGGGCAGAGTGATGGAAAGCTTGAGAATGGGGCGGGGTGATGGAAAGCGGGAGAATGGGGCGGGGAGATGGAAAGCAGGAGAATGGGGCGGGGTGATGGAAAGCGGGAGAATGGGGCGGGGTGATGGAAAGCGGGAGAATGGGGCGGGTGATCGAAAGCGGGAGAATGGGGCGGGGTGATGGAAAGCGGGAGAATGGGGCAGAGTGATGGAAAGCGAGAGAATGGGACAGGTTGATGGAAAGCGGGAGAATGGGGCGGGGTGATGGAAAGCGGGAGAATGGGGCGGGGTGATGGAAAGCGGGAGAATGGGGCGGAGTGATGGAAAGCGAGAGAATGGGGCGGGGTGATGGAAAGCGGGAGAATGTGGCGTGGTGATGGAAAGCGTGAGAATGGGGCGGGGTAATGGAAAGCGGGAGAATGGGGCGGAGTGATCGAAGGAGGGAGAATGGGGCGGGGTGATGGAAGGAGGGAGAATGGGGCTGGGTGATGGCAAGCGGGAGAATGGGGCGGGGTGATGGAAAGCGGGACAATGGGGCGGGGTGATGGAAAGCGGGAGAATGGGGCGGGGTGATGGAGAGCGGGAGAATGGGGCGGGGTCATGGAAAGTGGGAGAATGGGGCGGGGTGATGGAAAGCGGGAGAATGGGGCGAGTTGATGGAAAGCGGGAGAATGGGCCGGAATGATAGAAAGCGGGAGAATGGGGCGGGGTGATGGAAGGAGGGAGAATGGGGCGGGGTGATGGAAGGAGGGAGAATGGGGCAAGGTGATGGAAAGCGGGAGAATGTGGCGGGGTGATGGAAAGCGGGAGAATGGGGCGGGGTGATGGAAAGCGGGAGAATGGGGCGGGGTGATCGAAGGAGGGAGAATGGGGCGGGGTGATGGAAAGCGGGAGAATGGGGCGGGGTGATGGAAAGCGGGTGAATGGGGCGGGATGATGGAAAGCGGGAGAATGGGACGGGGTGATGGAAAGCGGGAGAATGGGGCTGGGTGATGGAAAGCGGGAGAATGGGGCGGGGTGATGGAAGGAGGCAGAATGGGGCGGTTTGATGGAAAGCGGGAGAATGGGGCGGGCTGATGGAATGCGGGAGAATGGGGCGGGGTGATGGAAAGCGGGAGAATGGGGCTGGGTTATGGAAGGAGGGAGAATGGGGCGGTTTGATGGAAAGTGGGAGAATGGGGCGGGATGATGGAATGCGGGAGAATGAGGCGGGGTGAGGGAAAGCGGGAGAATGGGGCGGGGTGATGGAAAGTGGGAGAATGGGGCAGGGTGATGGAAAGCGGGAGAATGGGGCGGGGTGATGGAAAGCGGGAGAATGGGACGGGGTGATGGAAAGCGGGAGAATGGGACAGGGTGATGGAAAGCGGGAGAATGAGGCAGGGTGACAGAAAGCGGGAGAATGGGGCGGGGTGATGGAAAGCGGGAGAATGGGGTGAGGTGATGGAAAGTGGGAGAATGGGGCAGGTGATGGAAAGCGGGAGAATGGGGCGGGGTGATGGAAGGAGGGAGAATGGGGCAAGGTGATGGAAAGCGGGAGAATGTGGCGGGGTGATGGAAAGCGGGAGAATGGGGCGGGGTGATGGAAAGCGGGAGAATGGGGCGGGGTGATCGAAGGAGGGAGAATGGGGCGGGGTGATGGAAAGCGGGAGAATGGGGCGGGGTGATGGAAAGCGGGTGAATGGGGCGGGATGATGGAAAGCGGGAGAATGGGACGGGGTGATGGAAAGCGGGAGAATGGGGCTGGGTGATGGAAAGCGGGAGAATGGGGCGGGGTGATGGAAGGAGGCAGAATGGGGCGGTTTGATGGAAAGCGGGAGAATGGGGCGGGCTGATGGAATGCGGGAGAATGGGGCGGGGTGATGGAAAGCGGGAGAATGGGGCTGGGTTATGGAAGGAGGGAGAATGGGGCGGTTTGATGGAAAGCGGGAGAATGGGGCGGGATGATGGAATGCGGGAGAATGAGGCGGGGTGAGGGAAAGCGGGAGAATGGGGTGAGGTGATGGAAAGCGGGAAAATGGGGCGCGGTGATGGAAGGAGGGACAATGGGGCGGGGTGATGAAAAGCGAAAGAATAGAGCGGGGTGATAGAAAACGGGAGAATGGGGCGGGATGATGGAAAGCGGGAGAATGGGGGGGGGTGATGGAAAGCAGGAGAATGGAGCAGGGTGATGGAAAGCGGGAGAACGGGGCGGGGTGATGGAAAGCGGGAGAATAGGGCGGGGTGATGGAAAGCGGGAGAATGGGGCGGGTGATGGAAAGCTGGAGAATGGGACGGGATGATGGAAAGCGGGAGAATGGGGTGGGGTGATGGAAAGCGGGAGAATGGGGCGGGATGATGGAAAGCGGGAGAATGGGGCGGGATGATGGAAAGCGGGAGAATGGGGCGGGGTGATAAAAAGCGGGAGAATGGGGCGGGATGATGGAAAGCGGGAGAATGGGGCGGGGTGATGGAAAGCGGGAGAATGGGGCGGGGTGATGGAAAGCTGGAGAACGGGGCAGGGTGATGGAAGGAGGGAGAAAGGGGCGGGGTGATGGAAGGAGGGAGAATGGGGCGGAGTGATGGAAAGCGGGAGAATGGGGCGGGGTGATGGAAAGCGGGAGAATGGGGCGGGGTGATGGAAAGCGGGAGAATGGGGCGGGGTGATGGAAAGCGAGAGAATGGGGCGGGGTGATGGAAAGCGGGAGAATGGGACGGGGTGATGGAAAGCGGGAGAATGGGGCAGGGTGACAGAAAGCGGGAGAATGGGGTGGGGTGATGGAAAGCGGGAGAATGGGGTGAGGTGATGGAAAGCGGGAGAATGGGGCGGGGTGATGGAAAGCGAAAGAATAGAGCGGGGTGATAGAAAACGGGAGAATGGGGCGGGATGATGGAAAGCGGGAGAATGGGGCGGGGTGATGGAAAGCGGGAGAATGGAGCAGGGTGATGGAAAGTGAGAGAATAGGGCGGGGTGATGGAAAGCGGGAGAATGGGGCGGGGTGATGGAAAGCGGGAGAACGGGGCGGGGTGATGGAAAGCGGGAGAATGGGGCGGAGTGATGGAAAGCGGGAGAATGGGGCGGGATGATGGAAAGCGGGAGAATGGGGCGGGGTGATAAAAAGCGGGAGAATGGGGCGGGATGATGGAAAGCGGGAGAATGGGGCGGGGTGATGGAAAGCGGGAGAATGGGGCGGGGTGATGGAAAGCTGGAGAACGGAGCAGGGTGATGGAAGGAGGGAGAAAGGGGCGGGGTGATGGAAGGAGGGAGAATGGGGCGGAGTGATGGAAAGCGGGAGAATGGGGCGGGGTGATGGAGAGCGGGAGAATGGGGCGGGGTGATGGAAAGCGGGAGAATGGGGCGGGGTGATGGAAAGCGAGAGAATGGGGCGGGGTGATGGAAAGCGGGAGAATGGGACGGGGTGATGGAAAGCGGGAGAATGGGGCAGGGTGACAGAAAGCGGGAGAATGGGGCGGGGTGATGGAAAGCGGGAGAATGGGGCGAGGTGATGTAAGGAGGGACAATGGGGCGGGGTGATGAAAAGCGAAAGAATAGAGCGGGGTGATAGAAAACGGGAGAATGGGGCGGGATGATGGAAAGCGGGTGAATGGGGCGGGGTGATGGAAAGCAGGAGAATGGAGCAGGGTGATGGAAAGTGAGAGAATAGGGCGGGGTGATGGAAAGCGGGAGAATGGGGCGGGGTGATGGAAAGCGGGAGAACGGGGCGGGGTGATGGAAAGCGGGAGAATGGGGCGGGGTGATGGAAAGCGGGAGTATGGGGCGGGGTGATGGAAGGAGGGAGAATGGGGCAGGGTGATGGAAAGCGGGAGAATGGGGCAGAGTGATGGAAAGCTTGAGAATGGGGCGGGGTGATGGAAAGCGGGAGAATGGGGCGGGGAGATGGAAAGCAGGAGAATGGGGCGGGGTGATGGAAAGCGGGAGAATGGGGCGGGGTGATGGAAAGCGGGAGAATGGGGCGGGTGATCGAAAGCGGGAGAATGGGGCGGGGTGATGGAAAGCGGGAGAATGGGGCAGAGTGATGGAAAGCGAGAGAATGGGACAGGTTGATGGAAAGCGGGAGAATGGGGCGGGGTGATGGAAAGCGGGAGAATGGGGCGGGGTGATGGAAAGCGGGAGAATGGGGCGGAGTGATGGAAAGCGAGAGAATGGGGCGGGGTGATGGAAAGCGGGAGAATGTGGCGTGGTGATGGAAAGCGTGAGAATGGGGCGGGGTAATGGAAAGCGGGAGAATGGGGCGGAGTGATCGAAGGAGGGAGAATGGGGCGGGGTGATGGAAGGAGGGAGAATGGGGCTGGGTGATGGCAAGCGGGAGAATGGGGCGGGGTGATGGAAAGCGGGACAATGGGGCGGGGTGATGGAAAGCGGGAGAATGGGGCGGGGTGATGGAGAGCGGGAGAATGGGGCGGGGTCATGGAAAGTGGGAGAATGGGGCGGGGTGATGGAAAGCGGGAGAATGGGGCGAGTTGATGGAAAGCGGGAGAATGGGCCGGAGTGATAGAAAGCGGGAGAATGGGGCGGGGTGATGGAAGGAGGGAGAATGGGGCGGGGTGATGGAAGGAGGGAGAATGGGGCAAGGTGATGGAAAGCGGGAGAATGTGGCGGGGTGATGGAAAGCGGGAGAATGGGGCGGGGTGATGGAAAGCGGGAGAATGGGGCGGGGTGATCGAAGGAGGGAGAATGGGGCGGGGTGATGGAAAGCGGGAGAATGGGGCGGGGTGATGGAAAGCGGGTGAATGGGGCGGGATGATGGAAAGCGGGAGAATGGGACGGGGTGATGGAAAGCGGGAGAATGGGGCTGGGTGATGGAAAGCGGGAGAATGGGGCGGGGTGATGGAAGGAGGCAGAATGGGGCGGTTTGATGGAAAGCGGGAGAATGGGGCGGGCTGATGGAATGCGGGAGAATGGGGCGGGGTGATGGAAAGCGGGAGAATGGGGCTGGGTTATGGAAGGAGGGAGAATGGGGCGGTTTGATGGAAAGTGGGAGAATGGGGCGGGATGATGGAATGCGGGAGAATGAGGCGGGGTGAGGGAAAGCGGGAGAATGGGGCGGGGTGATGGAAAGTGGGAGAATGGGGCAGGGTGATGGAAAGCGGGAGAATGGGGCGGGGTGATGGAAAGCGGGAGAATGGGACGGGGTGATGGAAAGCGGGAGAATGGGACAGGGTGATGGAAAGCGGGAGAATGAGGCAGGGTGACAGAAAGCGGGAGAATGGGGCGGGGTGATGGAAAGCGGGAGAATGGGGTGAGGTGATGGAAAGTGGGAGAATGGGGCAGGTGATGGAAAGCGGGAGAATGGGGCGGGGTGATGGAAGGAGGGAGAATGGGGCAAGGTGATGGAAAGCGGGAGAATGTGGCGGGGTGATGGAAAGCGGGAGAATGGGGCGGGGTGATGGAAAGCGGGAGAATGGGGCGGGGTGATCGAAGGAGGGAGAATGGGGCGGGGTGATGGAAAGCGGGAGAATGGGGCGGGGTGATGGAAAGCGGGTGAATGGGGCGGGATGATGGAAAGCGGGAGAATGGGACGGGGTGATGGAAAGCGGGAGAATGGGGCTGGGTGATGGAAAGCGGGAGAATGGGGCGGGGTGATGGAAGGAGGCAGAATGGGGCGGTTTGATGGAAAGCGGGAGAATGGGGCGGGCTGATGGAATGCGGGAGAATGGGGCGGGGTGATGGAAAGCGGGAGAATGGGGCTGGGTTATGGAAGGAGGGAGAATGGGGCGGTTTGATGGAAAGCGGGAGAATGGGGCGGGATGATGGAATGCGGGAGAATGAGGCGGGGTGAGGGAAAGCGGGAGAATGGGGCGGGGTGATGGAAAGTGGGAGAATGGGGCAGGGTGATGGAAAGCGGGAGAATGGGGCGGGGTGATGGAAAGCGGGAGAATGGGACGGGGTGATGGAAAGCGGGAGAATGGGACAGGGTGATGGAAAGCGGGAGAATGGGGCAGGGTGACAGAAAGCGGGAGAATGGGGCGGGGTGATGGAAAGCGGGAGAATGGGGTGAGGTGATGGAAAGTGGGAGAATGGGGCAGGTGATGGAAAGCGGGAGAATGGGGCGGGGTGATGGAAGGAGGGACAATGGGGAGGGGTGATGAAAAGCGAAAGAATAGAGCGGGGTGATAGAAAACGGGAGAATGGGGCGGGATGATGGAAAGCGGGAGAATGGGGCGGGGTGATGGAAAGCAGGAGAATGGAGCGGGGTGATGGAAAGCGGGAGTATGGGGCGGGGTGATGGAAGGAGGGAGAATGGTTCGGGGTGATGGAAAGCGGGAGAATGGGGCGGGGTGATGGAAAGCGGGAGAGTGGGGCGGGGTGATGGAAGGAGGGAGAATGGGGCGGGGTGATGGAAGGAGGGAGAATGGGGCAGGGTGATGGAAAGCGGGAGAATGGGGCGGGGAGATCGAAAGTGGGAGAATGGGGCGCTGTGATGGAAGGAGGGAGAATGGGGGAGGGTGATGGAAGGAGGGAGAATGCGGCGGGGTGATGGAAAGAGGGAGAATGGGGCGGGGTGATGGAAGGAGGGAGAATGGGGCGGGGTGATGGAAAGCGGGAGAAAGGGGCGGGGTGATGGAAAGAGGGAGAAATGGGGCGGGGTGATGGAAAGCAGGAGAATGGGGCGGGGTGATGGAAAGCGGGAGAATGGGGCGGGGTGATGGAAGGAGGGAGAATGGGGCGGGGTGATGGAAGGAGGGAGAATGGGGCGGGGTGATGGAAGGAGGGAGAATGGGGTGGGGTGATGGAAAGCGGGAGAATAGGGCGGGGTGATGGAAAGCAGGAGATTGGGGCGGGGTGATGGAAAGCGGGAGAATGTTGCGGGGTGATGTAAAGCGAGAGAATGGGGCGGGGTGATGGAAAGCGGGAGAATTGGGCAGGGTGATAGAAAGCGGGAGAATTGGGAGGGGTGATTGAAAGCGGGAGAATGGGGCGGGGTGATGGAAAGCGGGAGAATGGGGCGGGGTGATGGAAAGCGGGAGAATGGGGAGGGGTGATGGAAAGCGGGAGAATGGGGCAGGTTGATGGAAAGCGGAAGAATGGGGCGGGGTGATGGAAAGCGGGAGAATAGGGCGGGGTGATGGAAAGCGGGAGAATGGGGCGGGGTGATGGAAAGCGAGAGAATGGGGCGGGATGATGGAAAGCGGGAGAATGGGGCGGGGAGATGGAAAGCGGGAGAATGGGGCGGGGTGATGGAAAGCGGGAGAATGAGGCGGGGTGATGGAAAGCGGGAGAATGGGGCGGGTTGATGGAAAGTTGAAGAATGGGGCGGGGTGATGGAAAGCGGGAGAAAAGGGCTGGGTGATGGAAAGCGGGAGAATGGGGCGGGGTGATGGAAAGCGGGAGAAAAAGGCTGGGTAATGGAAAGCGGGAGAATGGGGCGGGGTGATGGAAAGCTTGAGAATGGGGCTGGGTGATGGAAAGCGGGAGAATGGGGCGGGTTGATTGAAAGTTGAAGAATGGGGCGGGGTGATGGAAAGCGGGAGAAAAGGGCTGGGTGATGGAAAGCGGGAGAATGGGGCGGGGTGATGGAAAGCTTGAGAATGGGGCGGGGTGATGGAAAGCGGGAGAATGGGGCAGGGTGATGGAAAGCGGTAGAATGGGGCGGGGTGATGGAAAGCAGGAGCATGGGGCGGGTGATGGAAAGCGGGAGAATGGGGCGGGGTAATGGAAAGCGGGAGAATGGGGCGGGGTCATGGAAAGCGGGAGAATGGGGCGGGGTGATCGAAGGAGGGAGAATGGGGCGGGGTGATGGAAGGAGGGAGAATGGGGCGGGGTGATGGCAAGCGGGAGAATGGGGCGGGGTGATGGAAAGCGGGAGAATGGGGCGGGGTCATGGAAAGTGGGAGAATGGGGCGGGGTGATGGAAAGCGGGAGAATGTGGCGGGGTGATGGAAAGCGGGAGAATGGGGCGAGTTGATGGAAAGCGGGAGAATGGGCCGGAGTGATAGAAAGCGGGAGAATGGGGCGGGGTGATGGAAGGAGGGAGAATGGGGCGGGGTGATGGAAGGAGGGAGAATGGGGCAAGGTGATGGAAAGCGGGAGAATGGGGCGGGGTGATGGAAAGCGGGAGAATGGGGCGGGGTGATGCAATGCGGGAGAATGGGGCGGGGTGATGGAAAGCGGGAAAATGGGGTGGGATGATGGAAAGCGGGAGAATGGGGCGGGATGATGGAAAGCGGGAGAATGGGACAGGGTGATGGAAAGCGGGAGAATGGGGCTGGGTGATGGAAAGCGGGAGAATGGGGCGGGGTGATGGAAGGAGGCAGAATGGGGTGGTTTGATGGAAAGCGGGAGAATGGGGCGGAGTGATGGAATGCGGGAGAATGGGGCGGGGTGATGGAAAGCGGGAGAATGGGGCGGGGGGATGGAAGGAGGGAGAATGGGGCGGTTTGATGGAAAGCGGGAGAATGGGGCGGGATGATGGAATGCGGGAGAATGAGGCGGGGTGAGGGAAAGCGGGAGAATGGGGCGGGGTGATGGAAAGTGGGAGAATGGGGCGGGGTGATGGAAAGCGGGAGAATGGGGCGGGGTGATGGAAAGCGGGAGAATGGGGCGGGGTGATGGAAGGAGAGGGAATGGGGCGGGGTGATGGAAGGAGGGAGAATGGGGCGGGTCGATGGAACGAGGGAGAATGAGGCGGGATGATATAAAGCGAGAGAATAGGACGGGGTGATGGAAAGAGGGAGAATGGGGCGGGGTGATGGAAGGAGGGAGAATGGGGCGGGGTGATGGAAAGCGGGAGAATGGGGCGGGGTGATGGAAAGTGGGAGAATGGGGCGGGGTGATGGAAAGCGGGAGAATGGGGCGGGGTGATGGAAAGCGGGAGAATGGGCAGGGTGATGGAAAGCGGGAGAATGGGGCGGGGTGATGGAAAGCGGGAGAATGGGCGGGGTGATGGAAAGCGGGAGAATGGGGCGGGCTGATAAAAAAGCGGGAGAATGGGGCGGGGAGATGGAAAGTGGGAGAATGGGGCGCGGTGATGGAAGGAGAGAGAATGGGGCGGGGTGATGGAAGGAGGGAGAATGGGGCGCGGTGATGGAAAGCGGGCAGCTCAGCCTTGTACCGGAACACAAGCGTGCATACCGACCCAACTGACCAACGCATCATTTTCTCCGTGTAAATACAGTCCTTTCAATTATACCATTTCCCACCCCCCTACTAGGTTTTACCCTTTTGGATCTTTGTGATTTGCCAAATATAGGCATTCCCAGTCGTGCATGGTACCTGCACTACAGGCGCTCATACCGACCAAACTGACCAACGCATCACTTATGTTTGTAAAGATGAAGTTAGTACCATTTTCTTGCCAGTCCACAAGATTAGGCCATCTGCTTTAACAACACTAGGTTCTAACCGTTTAGATCCACAGAATTTGAGAGATTTCAGAGCTCCAACTCCACCTTGTACCGGCACACAAGCGTGCATAGTGACCCAACCGACCAACTCATCATTGTCTTCGTATATATATAGTGAATACCATATATTTTTCTCCAGTCCTTTCAATTATACCATTCCCCACCCCCCTACCAGGTTCTAACCTTTTGTATCTTTGTAATTCGCCAAACATAGGCATTCCAGTCGTGCATGGTACCTGCACTACAGGCGCGCATACTGACCAAACTGACCTACGCATTACTTATGTTTGTAGAGATGCAGTTGGTACCATTTTCTTACCAGTCTACCAGATTAGGCCATCTACTGTAACAACACTAGGTTTCAACCTTTTAGATCCACATAATTTGGAAGATTTAAGAGCTCCACCTCCGCCTTGTACCTGCACACAAGCGTGCATATTGACCGTAAAAATACAGTGAATACCATATAAATTTAGGCTTTTTCTTTGAATCATACCATTTCCCACCCCCCTTCCAGGTTCTAACCTTTTGGATCTTTGTAATTTGCCATGTTTAGGAATTCCCAGTCGTGCATGGTACCTCCACTACAAGCGCGCATACCGACCAAACTGACCAGCGCATTACTTATGCTTGTAGAGGTACAGTTGGTACCATTTTCTTGCCAGTCCACTAGATTAGGCGATCTACTTTAACAACACTAGGCTCTAACCTTTTAGATCTACATAATTTGAGAGATTCTGGAGGTCCAGCTCCGCCTTGTAACGGCACACAAGCGTGCATAGTGACCCAACCGACCAACGCATCGATTTCTCCGTATAAATACAGTGAATACCGTATATTTTTCTCCTGTTCTTTCAATTATACCATTCCCCACCCCCCTACCAGGTTTTTACCTTTTGTATCTATGTACTTCGCCCAATATAGGCATTCTAGTTATGCATTTTACCTACACTACAGACGCGCATACCGACCAAACTTACCAGCGCATTACTTATGTTTGTAGAGATGCAGTTGGTACCATTTTCTTGCCAGTCCACTAGATTAGGCAATCTACTTTAACAACACTAGGTTCTAACCTATTAGATTTACAAAATGTGTGGGATTTCAGAGCTCCAACACTGCCTGATAACTGCACACAAGTGTGCATACGGACCGAACCGTCCCATGCTTCATTTTCGCCGTATAAATACACTGAATACCACATAGATTTAGGCTTTTCATTCGAATTATACAATTTCCCAACCCCCTACCAGGTTCTAACCTTTTGGAATTTTGTATTTCGCCAAATATAGGCATTCCCAGTCGTGCAAGGTACCTGCACTACAGGCACGCATACCGACCAAACTGACCAGCGCATTACTTATGTTTGTTGAGATGCAGTTGGTATCATTTTCTTGCCAGTCCACTAGATTATGCCATCTACTTTAACAACACTAGGTTCTAACTGTGAGAAAGTAAGCATAGTAAGGAGCCATAGCTAGGTAAGCCCAAGCTAGGCAAGAGAGAAATGAAGAAAGGAGGGATTTCACTAGCAGCAGTTGGGATACATATAGCAAACCTTAACTGGGTTGTACTCGCTATAGAGCACCCCACTACAGGCTAGATAATAACATTTTGACACACCCCCATAGCCAAAGTGGGGTGTAATGAGCAGAGCACACAGTCATAGAGCAAGTGCACAATTGCAAGCAAAGCTAGAGGCTATCAAAGAGGGCAAGTGAGGAGGAGGAGGAACTGTGGAAGGAGAGAAGATGGGAGGCAACGACTGAAGCTGCACAGGCACGGGCACAGGAGCGGCTGACTCAGTGGCTACCGAAGCAAGGGCGACGGACTACTGGAGTAACTGGCTCCGCGGCTATAGACGAGCGGCAGGAGCAACGGACCCACTAGCGACTGGTGCAACAAGCTCACTGGCTACCAAAGCAAGGGCGACGGACTACAGGCGCTGCAGGCGACACGACAGCTACCTTCACTCAACCTCCTCCAACTGCCCCACATCCTCGACACACACCCCCTTCTCAAACCCTAACTCCACTCCCACGTCACCCCCCTAGCACCACTCCTTCGACTCCCACACACCCACCCCCCTGAGCGGCAGCTGCAGCAGCGGGAGACGGAGGAGGAGGAGGAGCAGGGGACGTCGCACACAACCGGCACCCCCACAACCGTCACCCCCACACTCCCCACCCCCAAACCCTAAAACGGGTGGCACGGGGTAGGAGCACGGGGGACGGCGAGGGGGACGGCGCGCGGCCCCCAGGGCGCCACCACGGGGTAGCGAGGGGCCGCGTGCGGCGCCAGGGGTGGCGCGCGGCCCCCAGGGCGCCACGGCGGGGCAGCGAGGGGCCGCGCGCGGCTCCCTAGGGCGCCGCGACGTGAAGAGCAGGGGCCGCGCGTGCTCCCTATGGCGCCGCGACGAGCAGGGTAAGGGCCGCGCGCGGCTCCCCAGGACGCTGCGACGTGAAGAGCGGGGGCCGCGCGTGCTCCCCAGGGCGCCGCGACGAGCAGGGCGGGGTCCGCGCGCGGGTCCCCAAGGTAGGAAACCGCTGCACGCCTCGGGGCGCACGGCGGGCAGAAAACCGCCGCGCACCCCGAGCGCACGGCGGAAAGAAAACCCGAAAAAAACACGGCAGGAAGAAGGAGTCGCATGCCACGGGGCGTGCAACAGATAGAGTAGCAGCGGAAGCAGTTAGGTGGGCCCACAAGCTAGGAGCGTAGATGCTCTGATAGCATGTGAGAAAGTAAGCATAGTAAGGAGCCATAGCTAGGTAAGCCCTAGCTAGGCAAGAGAGAAATGAAGAAAGGAGGTGTTTCACTAGCAGCAGTTGGGATACATATAGCAAACCCTAACTAGATTGTACTCGCTATAGAGCACCCCACTACAGGCTAGATAATAACATTCTGACACTAACCTTTTAGATCCACATAATTTGAGAGATTCTGGAGCTCCAGCTCCGCCTTGTACCGGCACACAAGCGTGCATAGTGGCCCAACCGGCCAACGCATCATTTTCTCCGTATAAATACAGTGAATAACCATATATTTTTCTCCAGTCCTTTCAATTATACCACTCCCCACCCCCCCACCAGGCTCTAACCTTTTGTATCTATGTAGTCGCCAAATATAGGCATTCCCAGTTGTTGAGTGCAATACATGGTCTGTACAACAACCTACCGCCTATTTGTCGACGTTGAGTGAAAGTGAGGTGTTTGTTATGAAGAAAATTTGTTGTGTGCGAGTTGCGTTTTTTCGTGAGCTGTGTTTCAGTATTTACGGCTCGTGAATCGGCTCAACGGCTCATGAGTTATGTGAGTTCCCGTGAAAGGTTGCGTTCCTAAGTGTTCGTGAAGGTCCGTGTGTGAATGCGAGACTTCGTGTGCGTTTGCGTTGCTTCGCGAGTTTTCATAAGCGTGTGTTAATTCTGTGTTCGTGAATTTCTGTGTTCGTGACTGTGTTCGTGAAATTCCGTGAAGTCTGTGCGCTGTTCATGAAAGTCTGTGAGTGTTCATGTTAGTTTTCGTTTTTCTGTTTTCGTGTGTGTTCATGAAGTATCGTGGGTGTTCGCGAGGGGTGAATGTTGACCCTTGGAAATTTCTCGCATCAGTCAATGTCAACTGCTCGGAAATATCAGGACCCGCGCGTGAGGTCCTGATTGTGCGTGTGGGCCCTCAGACCCGCGAGTGTGCCTCGCACTGTTGCGAGCGTGCACTGTGGGCACGATCGCAACAGAACAGAGCGAATGATCGCCCTGCCCACGCGCAGCACTACGCGCGTCAGTGCACAGTACTGCACGACCGAAATATCGGTCGTGCATGATTGCAGTGTCAGAATTTATATATGCAACTGCCTGTAGCTGTAGTTAGTGTAGTTATTACAAACTTTGTTAGGTGGTGCACCTTCTTTGTTCACATGCTATATGTTCTTGCAAACCTATAGTGAACACACATTTTTCCCAACTTTCTCGATACCCTTGGCACAACTCCCTCGACTTCTCCTTGGCCTAGGCTACTAAGCCTAGGCCGTCCTAAACTCTCAACTACCTATTAAGCTAGTATCACAACATGGTATCAGAGCATGTTTCGTCCTGGCCTGTGGGCCCGCCTTATGCTTCCGCTGCTGTTTTTCCGGTCGCGCGCCTAGGGCGCGTGGCGATTTTCATCTTGTCCCGCCCCCGGGTGGCGAGTGACACCTTCTCTGCCCGTCGCGCGCCCCGTGGCACGCGACGGTGCCCTAAACTTGCTCGTAGTGCGCCCCGTGGCACGCGACGGTGCCCTGCCCGCCGTGGGCCCCGTGGCATGCGACGGTGCCCTAAACTTGCCCGTCGTGCGCCCCGTGGCACGCGACGGTGCCCTGCCCGTCGTGCGCCCCGTGGCATGCAACGGTGCCCTAAACTGCCTAAACTGCCCGTCACGTGCCCCGTGGTGCGCGACGGTGCCCTGAGCCGCTGCGGAACCGCCCCTGGCGCCTGCGACGGTGTCCTGAGCCGCCGCGTACCCGCCCCTGGCGCACTCGGCGGTGCCCCTGCCTCACTCGCGCCTGCATTCGCTGCAGCCGCCCCTGCACCACCCAGCGCCTGCCCTTGGAGCAGCCGCCCCCGCTCCTGCACTCGGTGCAGCCGCCTCTGCCTCACCCCGCACCTGCACTCCCTGCAGCCGCCCCTGACCTACCCGCGCCGACCATCTGGAGCCGCTCTGCGGCTTTCTCCCCGCCCACCCCCTCCTCCTTCGTTTCCCTTCAGCTGTGGGGGGGAGG